TTTACCTATCCTGAAGGGGTGGAGTTAGTGTTCACTTGATGAGGGCGGGGATACAGCCTTTTCAACTGGTGGTGAAGTGACTAATAAGTTAATGAAAAACTTTAAAATGGGTTTATGGTGTTGTGGATACACTTGTGTAGCCTATGGCACCACTGTTAAGTATTTTGTTAGAACATTAGTTACTACGGGACGAGAGCATCCTGGGCCAATTTCGGCCTAGTCCTATTGTACGTGAAAAGATTATTTATATTAAATGTGTCTTGGAGGGCCTTCCAAAGATCAAGAAGAACTTTAGCACACCCTTTACTGTGCCCAATGAAGCGTTGTAATTAACAGTAAGTGGTCAGGGTAAAGGGGAGCGGTTGGGGGACTTTTTGGGAAATCTTACCACACACTCAAGATGTATGAGGGAGCTATGTAATTCTTTTATAGTAGTATATCGGGGAGTCAGAGGGGGGTCACTTCCCAGCAAGGCTATCACAGTCCCGGAGCAAATAGCAAGTGGCCTTGCCAACATGCTAAGTGACCCAAGCTTGTTCCAAGGTTGGGGGGCGTACAGTCGCAGCCTTGCCAACTCACTGAACCGACCGGAAGCAATACTCAAAGGTCAAGGGGCTCAGACGGGTCCTGGAGCCCCACCGGATTGGACTCCTCCAATTGCCAGAGGGCATGTGCACTTGCCAGAGAACAGCAGGGATACAGAGAGAGGGGGAAGAGAAAGCACCCTCGAAGGGATTTGGGGCACATTTGCACATGCATCCACGTGCTCTTCAAGATTCTTGGTCTGGGTCTTGAACAATGTAGTTGGCCATGTGGGATCCAGTTCCCCTAACCAATTGACCCTGGGGCTGGCCCGAAAACATGATTATGTTTTTCACTATAGTATGACAGATGTATATAAATTATTGATTTTTTTTTAGCAACAGCACACATGAAATAGTTTATTGAATAGTTTAACTAAAGCTTTTAGAGGAATTTAGTCCACAATTACTTCAGGGCATTAAACATGTCTCTAGGGAAAGCCTCAATCTTGATTCTTGTTTTCATGTTGCCTTCTTAGAATTCATCTTCTTAGAAGATGGTTCTAGGCCTTCATTCTTCCAGACTTAAATCCTTTATTGACCTGCAGCCAGGCACCCACAAAGCGTTTGGCTTTTGCAAGGGAGAGAGAGGATCCCCTGTGTGGCCTCCGGATCTCTCATCCGGGAAGCTCTTCCTCCTCTTCACTCAGGCCTCTAGGGTGAGCGCCAAAGCTGCCTGCATCTAGCCACCTAGCGCTACCGCTCCCTGGGCCAGCTGTACCCGGCCATGTCCCACCTCCAGTGCTGGCTCCCCACCCGGCCCCTACAGAGAAGGGGCACTGAAGTCCCTTGGCCCACAGGGGTAGCAGGCTCCCAATTATTGATGTCTTAAGAATATGCCTATTAATGGGACCAGCAGGTGGCATGGTGGTTAAGTCGTGGACATTCCCACATGGCTGACCACTGTTGGAGTCCCAGACCTGGTGACTTGCTTTCTCACTTTCCCTCTCTCTCTTTCTGTCTCTCTCTGGTCAAATTAAAATAAATGATTGAATTAATAAAATTAAATAAATAATTATTTTTAAAAAAGAATATGCCTATTACTTTCATGAGTGTTAACTCATGCCTCTCAAAAGAATAAAATAAATGAATAAATAAGCTGTGTTAACTCATGTTTCTCAAAAGAATAAAATAAATGAATAAATAAGTAAACTTTAATCAAATAATTATTTTAAAAAAGTAAGATAATCTAGTGTTTCAATTGAGTTATTCCTTCTTTTTAAAAAAGGATGACTTAACTTTATTAATTTATTTATTTTAACTTGATCAGAGAGGAACAGAATGAGAGAGAGAGGGAAAGTAGAAAGCAAGCTGCCAGGTCCGGGAATCAAACTGCGGTTGGGCCACTGGGACTCACCCTTAACCACCACGCCACCTGCCAGCCCCGTTATTTCTTGGTGACGCAAAGTGTTGTAGTCAAATCAGCGAGAAATAAGAGGACATCCAGACATAACCAAAATTATTGGAGTTTGGGGCCAGCAGGTGGCATGGTGATTAAGGGCGCTGGACTCCCACATGGATAACCACAGTTCAAGTCCTAGACCTGGCAACTTGCTTTCTCTCTCTCTTTCTCATTCTGTCCCTCTCTGGTCAAATTAAAAAGATAAATAAATGAAGATAAATGAAATAATTCTTTAAAAAAATTATTGGAGTTGATTGCTGGTGGTTCATGGGAGGACTCAAATCTCTCAAAGTCCCCGCAGGCCAGAGTGAAAGGAGAAGTGTGCTCATAAAGGCAAAAATCACACTCATTTCTGAGTTCACGTAGCAATTACAATGGAAAATGAGGAGAGGCTGGCAAGGAAAGGGAGTTGGGTTCCTATGCAAGAGCAGTTTCAAAAGCCCAATTGAGCAGATTAATCATTCCTAAGGCCCTCTCCAGACCTTTGTGTAATCGTCCCCATGGCTGGGGTGGGGGATGGTCTGGTGATTACGTTGCTAAGAAACATCTGAACAAAAAGGTTTTGGTCCAGTTAGCAAAAACAGTAAGATTTTATTTATTTATTTATTGAGAAATTTTAGCTATAGGGCGTGTGCACTCGCCAGAAAGACAGAAAGCAAGAAATCACCCCCCTGGGGGGATGGCCACACCATACACACAAACACCCGGCGTGAGTTTAAGCCACCGGGTCCGGAACTCGAACCATGATCGGCTACATGGGAGTCCAGTGACATAGCCATTACGCTAACTGCTGGTCCCCAAAACAGTAAGATTATTAGTCACTGTACTCTGGGTAAAAGGAGAAAGCTAGTATAATGTAAAGTTCAGAGATGGAGGTGCCTCTACTTCAAAAGTTATTTCGTTCTCTGCAAGTTCTCTGCAATCTTCATTCTCATTGTACAGCAGTGCTCAGTCTCCTGCAGCCCCTGCTCCTTCTCGATCCACAGTTTGGCCACTTCCGTCAACTCAGGTTCCCCGAGGCACAGCTGGGCTTCCCTGTCTGGCGCTCCTCCCCCCTCCTCCAGCGGTGGGCTCTCACAGTTTATAGCCTGCGCGCCCCGTCAGCATCCTGGCGCGCCCAAAGACACTGAGAAGCGCCCTGCAGAAGTCTAGACTGCATCGCTAGGCAGAGAGCAAACAGGTTTCTTCCAACGATAGATCTGGAAGTTACATACATGGGGTTTAAATCATATCCCTTCAGCCAGAACTTAGTCACAGGGTCAAACTTTGCCTGAAGGGGGTAGGGAAATGTAGCCTTTATTTGGCTAATTAACTATTCAGTCCACTTCAAACTCGGAGAGTTAGGGGCCGGCAGACAGCATAGCAGTTATGTTGCTGGACTCCCACATGGCTGACTGCAGTTTGAGTCCCAGACCTAATGGCTTGAAAATCATGCCAGGTACATGTGCGTGTGTGCCCAAGGTCACAGGAGGAGAATGGAGGGGAAAGAATGTGGCGTGGCCATCCCCTCTAGGGAAGGTACTTTCTCACTTTCTCTGTCTCTCTCTGTGTCTTCTGTGAGCACACATGCCCTATAGCAAAAATTTCTCTTAAAAAAAAAAAAAATCCAAGGATCCAACTGTAGGATGGAGAAAGCTGTGGCCACAACAGGAAAAAGAGGGTGATAGAGATCATTTGAAGGGCAGCTTCAGAAAAGTACAATTCTGAGCACACATGCCCTATAGCAAAAATTTCTCTTAAAAAAAAAAAAATCCAAGGATCCAACTGTAGGATGGAGAAAGCTGTGGCCACAACAGGAAAAAGAGGGTGATAGAGATCATTTGAAGGGCAGCTTCAGAAAAGTACAATTCTTGTTGTAGCCGAGGTTCAGTCCAGCAAGGCTTCCTGGAAGAGGCGGGATGAATGTCGGTGCTCTCTGACATGGATTTCTCTACCACTGGCTAGGTAGGCGGCAGCGTGCTGGGAAACACCTTCCAGTTCAAGCTGTTGCTGGAGCAGACTGAGAACGGAGACTGTCTTCACAAGAAGCTGGGGTCTTTCCACCCCCTGGGTGGCTTCCCCAACTGCATGGTGACCAGCGGTGTTGTCAACTTCTTCCTGGCGCACACAGAACGGCTCCGAAGTGTTGGCTTTGACCCCCGCCTGCAGAGAGTGGCTCACTCAGGTGGGGAGCGTGGGAGCGTGGGAGCGTGGGGAGGGCGCTGGTTGTGAATTAACCACAAAGGCTCGTCCTTTACAAAGGTCTGCCTTGTTGTTCATGGTCGCTTGCCTAACAACTGGGGCCTCCTCTCCTTTCACTGCAGACTAGGGAGCCCCTTGTCTCTTCACCTCCTTTTGGCTTCTGTGTCTCCCAGAGTCTGTCCTGGCCTAACTGGGGCACCCTTCCCCTGTAAAAACCTTTCACCTGTCTTGCCCTACATCTGACCTTTCCTCGCACTACTTCATATTCTGCTTTTACAGAAATACTTCCCTATTTAAATGCAACTGGTTGGGACCAGCAGATGGTGTCATGGTTATGTCGTCGGATTCCCACGTAGTTGATCACAGTTTGAGTCCCAGATCTGACGGTTTAAAACTCATGCCAGGCACACATGCATGCGTGCCCAAGATCCCAAGAGGATAATGGATGAGAAAGGATTGAGGCATGGCCATCCCCCGTGGGGGGGGATTTCCTTGCTTTCTGTCTCTCTGGTGAGCACACATGCCTTATAATAAAAATCTCTCAAAAAAAAAAAAAAAGAATGGGGACCACCGGGTGGTGTGGTGCTTGGGGTGCTGTACACTCCCACATGGCTGACTGCAGTTTGAGTACCAGACCCGGTGGCTTGCTTTCCCACTTTCCCCCTCTCTCTCTGATCACATGAAAAGATAAATAAATGAATAAATAAAATTAAATAAATAATTAAAAAAAGTATTATAAAAAAATCTCTCTCTCAAAAAAAAATGCCACTGGTTAAGTGAGCTCTCTCCTTCCCCCTTTTCGTTCAGCCCTGGAGTCTGCGGTTTGGCCTGCTGGAAGGCTAACTTGTGCCTGTCTGCTTGTATGTGCAGATTTCTGCCCAGGTGGGGCTTACCCTCCCCCGGGTTGTAAACTGTGTCCTCTCCGGTAGCTCTCTTCACAGACCTGGAACAGGACCCTGGGTCTCTGAGGGCAGCTCCCATCCCCTCCCCTGCTCTCCCTCTCTTTGCAGAGTTCTTTATTGATGGGCTAGGGAGCCTGCTCGTGGGGTCTTGCCCGGGCGTGATGGTCGGTCACCAGCCCCAGTTTCTAAAAGTGAATGGAGAGCTGGAGAAGATCTACAGCAAGTACCGGGCCAACACCAGGGACCAGGTGCAGACTAAGTTGGCTCTCCACTACTTCAAGAACCACCTCCAGTGCCTCACATAAAGGCGCGGGGCACAGGACAGCAGCCGGCCGATGGCTGTGGTCTCTAGAACAGGGAGCCCGTGCTGAGGGGGGCCAGAACCAGCACTCCTGCTGAGGTGAACAGAGTGACAAGCCAACTGTTGGGATGGGCAAATGGGCGCAGCAGTCACTGAAAATACCAGTCAAATGTTAAGGGCCATTAGAAATAGACCATGGGGGCTGGCATGTGGCAGGGTGGTTAAGGGTGCTGGACTCCCACATGGCCAACCCTGGTTCGAGTCCCAGACCTGGTGGCTTGCTTTCTCATTTTCCCTTTCTCTCTCTCTCCCCCACTCTGGTCAAATTTAAATAAATAAATAAAGTTAAATAAAATAATTATTTAAAGAAACAAAACTAAAAAAGAAATAGACCACAGGACTAGCCATTGTGTGAAGGTGAGGGTGGCTGGATCCCACATGGCTGAGTATATGGCAAGAATGCTGGATCAGAAACTTGGAGAACACTGTGTATGTGTGCGTGTGAGTCCAAAATCTGGAGAGAAGAATGGAGAAGGGATTATGGCATCCCTGGGGGCTGATTTCTCACTCTTCCTCTCTTTATGTCTGTTTCCCTCCAGGAGCACACATGCCCTGTAGCAAAATAAAAAACAAACAAACATAATCAACAGTTTTGCTAAAATGAAAGCAAAAAAAAAAATAATCACGTGGTATGATATGATTATATATATGAAAATATATATGTGCATCTTTTTTCTTATTCATCCAAACATCGACTCATCAGTTAAACACCACAGATTGGTACATACTATTAACAATTAAATTCCAGGGCCAGCAGGTGGTGTGGTAGTTAAGGCACGGAATTCCAACATGGTCAACTGCAGTTTGAGTCCCAAACCCAGCGGCTTGAAACTCATGCCAGGCTTGAGTGTATGCATGCCCAAAATCCTGAGAAGGGGAAGGGCTTGCATTGTGGCCACTTCCCCAGCGGGTGATTTCTGGCTTTTTGTCTCTGTGTCTCCGTGAGCACACAGGCCCTGTTAGCAAAAATCCCCTTAATTCCATTGCTCCGATATGTTGCCCACTTTGGGTCATACACAAACCACTACTTTACAGTATTTTTTTTTTTAGAGGTTTTTGCTATAGGGCATGTGCACTCGCCAAACAGAGAGAGGACAGAGAGTCAGAAAGCGAGAAATCACCCCCCAGGGAGGATGGCCACAGCGCAATCTCTTCTTCTCTATTCTCCTCTCGGGATCTTGGGCACGCACGCACACGCGCCTGGCGGGAGTTTCAAGCCACTGGGTCCGGGCTGTGAACCGCGGTCGACTACATGGGAGTCCAGCAACATAGCCATTACGCTAATTGCTGGTCCCAGTATTTTTTATTTTGCCATAAAGGTAAGGGAATAGAACATTAATTATAATTGTATGTTAGTGTCATTCTTTATAGTCCGAAGTACTTATGTGTTTTTTGTTTTGTTTTGTTTTGTTTTCCAAAATGTGCTTATGGGCTGGCTTCCCACTCATCTTGAGTCAGGATGCTCTTAGTACTGCTTCCTCCTGAGGAACATCCTTCTGCCTGCCTCGCTTTTCCTCCTGTGGCCTGGCAGAGGACAGTGGCGCTGCCAAGGCACAAAACTACTGTTTGTAGAAAACGGTAGGCGAAAGACTGTGGTGACTTCATAGCCTCCTGGGCACTTCGCATCCATGAGGTAGGACCTTGGGCTCTGCCCCAGGCGCTTCTTCTTGTGTTTCCTCTCCTCTTCTGGAGAGGATGAAGGAGGTCCTTTGCGAGAGGCATGTTCTCGTGGGGAGGTCGTCGCCGCTGGAAAGCTGCATTATGTTTTTTAGAGGTTTTTGCCTTAGGGCACATGTGTTTGCCAAAGAGACAGTGAAAGGGAGGGCCATGCCTCACTCCCTTCTCCATTCTTCTCCCGGGATCTTGGGCACACATGCGCACGCGCCCAGTATGTTTTAAGCCACTGGGTCTGGAACTTGAACTGCAGTGGGCTATATGGGAGCCAGTGATGTAACTGCTACAGCATCTGCTGGCCCAAGCCTGAATTACTTTTTTTATTTTGATTTTTTAGAAAGATTTTTGCTATAGGATATGTGCACTCATCAGAGAGACAGAGACAGACAGAGAGATAGGGAGACAGAGAGATAGAAAGGGAGAAATCACACACACACCCCAACCCGAGGGAGCATGGCCACTTTCAATCCCTTTTCCTCCATTCTCCTCTCGGATCTTGGGCATGCATGTATGCACGCTCGGCGTGAGTTTAAGCTACCAGGTCTTGGACTCGAACTGCTGTCAGCTATGTGGGAGTCCAGCTATGTAACCATTATTTCATCTGCTGGCCCTGCCTGAATTATTTAGACACAAGGCTGTGGATGTTCATTTGTACTCTGGTCCCGGGCCTGATTCCACAAAAATGGCTGCCTTCCTGATTAATTACTTGCATTCTTAACATAGAAGGATAGAGTTGCACACTTACATAGCAATTATAGCATTTGACACCATCCCCCATTGGAGAACTCAATTTTTAAAATATATTATTTTTACTTTGCTATAGGGCACATGTGCTTGCTGAAAAGGGAGAGAGAGAGAGAGAGAGAAAGAGAGAGAGAAATCATCTCACAGGGGGATGGCCATGTGGGATGATGCCACTGGATGGCCTTCTCCTCCAGTCTCCTCTTGGGATTTTGGGCATGCATGCACATGTGCCTGGCATGATTTTCTTTTCTTTTTAAAAAAAAATTTTAAAAGATTTATTTATTTTTAATTATATTTATTATCATTATTCTTCAATTTTGACCAGAGAGAGACAGACAGAGAGAGACAGTGAGAAAGCAAGCCGCCAGGTCTGAGACTTGAACTGCGGTCGGCCATGTGGGAATCTAGCACTGTAAGGGTCTAGAGATCGGTTTAACTGATGGAGACACAGAAAAGACAACGACAATGCAACTGCAAAAGAGGCTTTTATTCTTTTTCCAGCTAGCTGGGGTCCGAGTTTCTGCCTGTCGCAGCGGGCCTTAACAAGGACCCCGAGCCTAAAATAAAGGGATCTTTTGTAGCTCCGAATCACAATGCAGGAAGTACAGTCAGTAATTTTCCACTTGAGGGAGGGGTGTGTGTGAAAGCTAGCTGTCATTATGTTTAGGTTTAGATTAGGACTTTCAGTTGAGGTCAGGTTGACCTGGCCCTGGCATCGTCAGGGCCCATCTTACTTTGCTTATTTATGTGATCTCAGACTCCCCGGGTTCTGTCCTTGAGGGTCTAACATGGCGGTGGTTGTGTTAAGTCAGCCTAACAGCACCTCAACCACCACACCGCCTGCCAGCCCCTTGGCATGATTTTCAAGCCACTGGGTCCAGGAGTTGAACTGATCAGTTCGCCATGTGGGATTCAGCCACCTTAACATCCATGCCACCTCTGGTCTGCTTTTTTTTTTTTTTTTTTTAAATTTTTTTTTTTGGGCCAGCAGTTAGCGTAATGGCTATGTCACTGGACTCCCATGTAGTCGACTGCAGTCGGACCCGGTGGCTTAAACTCACGCCGGGCACCTGTGCGTGCGTGCCCAAGATCCCGAGAGGAGAATGGAGGAGAAGGGTTTGCGGCATGGCCATCCCCTTGGGGGATGATTTCTTGCTTTCTATCTCTCTGTCTCTCTCTGGTGAGTGCACGTGCCCTATAGCAAAAACTTCTTAAAAAAAAAAAAGTTTTTGTCTTAAGGTGCATGCACTCACGAGAGTGAGACAGAGAGAAAGACCAGAGAGACAGAAGGAAAGTAAGAAAGCATCTCCCAGCGGGGATGACCACATCGCCATTCCTTCTCCTCCATTCTCCTCCTGACATCTTGGGCAGTCACGCATACATGCATGCGTATCAAGCCACTGGGTCTGGAACTTGAACCATGGTCGGCCATGTGGGAGTCCAGTGACATAATTGCTATGCCATCTGCTGGTCCTGGCCCAGTTTTTTAAATAAAAATAAGATATGAGGGTGGTATTTTTTTTTTTTTTTGAGAGAGAGATTTTCACTGTAGGGCGCATGCGCTCGCCAGACAGAGAGAGACATAGAGACAGAAAGCGAGAAATCACCCCCCAGGGGGGATGGTCACGACGCAATCCCTTCTCCTCCATTCTCCTCTTGGGATCTTGGGCACACACGCACACGCGCCTGGCGTGAGTTTTAAGCCACCGGGTCCGGGACACGAACCGCGGTCGACTACGTGGGAGTCCAGCGACATAGCCATTACGCTAACTGCTGGTTCCCTATGAGGGTGGTATTTTTGACAGGGTCTTGCCATGTGGGAGTCCTCTGCCCCAGCCTCCCAGTTAGCTAGGACCACAGGTGTATGCTATGATGTCAGGCCTGTTTTTGTAGCCAGGAACCAAACTTGGGCCTCCCATGTGGCCTCAGCCACCACTTGGCAGCACCCTCACAGCTGGGACAGGAACCATGTTGACATGCCATAATTAACATTATCAGCATGTTCCAGGCATAGTCTCTTCTCGGTCCCGAGATCTGGAATGATCTACTCCAGGAGAGAGGAGTTAAAATGGAGCTCTGGTAAGGTATTTGTCTGTACTGTGAGCTAATAACTTCTCTTCTCCAGCAACTTATCAACCACCAGAGTGTGCATCTACACTCCCTGGTCAAATGCACCGGACCAAGTTGGGCAGACTCCTGACCCAATGGCCAATTAAATTGTCACTCTTGGAATTTGAATTGAGCCTGAAAAGAAAGTTAAGTCAAGCTTGGTGGATGACTGTGCCTGAGCCATTACATTCAGGAGCTACAGAACTGCCCCTTAATGCTGTGTGGATGGGAGAGCTGAGAAGGCCATCCTGCAACTAGGGGAGAATTCAAATATGCACCAGCAGGTGGCGTGGTGGATGGGGCGCTAGACTCCCACATGACCGACTGTGGTTCAAGTCCTGGACCCGGTGGCTTGCTTTCTTATATTCTCTCTCTCTGAGTGCATGTGCCTACAGCAAATTAAATAATAATAATAATAAATGATTCTTTAAAAGAAAAACAAAACAAAACAAAAAAACAGATACAGACTCAGATGAGCTGAAATGAGAGAAAAACAAAGCAGATGTGCACCCAGGGAAGCTGAAATGAGAGATGTCTGGCTGCCTCTCCTGCTCTCTGGCGGCAGCTCTGCCCCGGGGTTTTGTGAAACACTGCACCTTTTTTATTCCTCCTTTTTATATAACATCATTTGAGTTGCTTCCTATCACTTATAACCAAAGTATCCCAAAAATACGC